TTTTTTATTGTACTTTTGGTGAAAGTTTATAGAGCAAATTAGTTTCTCATTAAATAATTAATGCATTGGTTGCCAACCCCATGATGTGTCAACACCCCCCCCCCCTTGATATCAGATTCCCCATTTCCGTTCGTCCAGTTTTCAAAAATATAATGCTTCATGAATTTAGGTGTCATCCTTTTGCAGGGACCATGCTAATCTTCTCTGTATCATTCCAATTGTAGTATATGTGTTGCTGAACAGGCATTCATGGCAAGTTTTTTTATTACTATTTCAATCTCTTTACTTACTATAAGTATGTTCTAAGCTTAGTCTTTCTTCTGTGGAGGGTTCACTATTTATGCCTTTCTAGGAATTTACCCATTTAATAGTTATCTGATGTGTCTGAAGTCCAACAAGAAGACTTCTTAGAAGAAAGGATGGAAAGACTTGTCTCACCTACTTTGGTCATGTTATCAGGAGGGACCAGTCCCTGGAGAAGGACATCATGCTTGGTAACTTAGAGGGTCAGAAAAGACAGGAAGACCCCCAAGGAAATGGATTGACATGGTGGCTGCAACAATGGGCTTAAGCATAACCACGATTGTGTGAATGGTGCAGGACCAGGCACTGTTTAATTCTGCTGTACATGGCATAGCTATGAGTCAGAAGCAACTCAAGGGCACCTAACAACAACAAGGTGTTTGCACACAATAGTTCATAGCATCCTCTTGCAATCCCTTTTGTTTCTGTAAGGCTGGTGTTATTGCTGTTAGGTGCCCTCCAGTCACTTCTGACTCCTAGCGACCCTATGCATAACAGAAGGAAACACTGCCAGGTCCTGCACCATCCTTGTTATACTTGAGCCCATTCTTGCAGCTACTGTGTCAATCCATTTCCTTGAGGGTCTTCCTCTCTTTTGCTGACCCTGTATGGGTGGTACTATCCAATGGCATTACTAGGGGTGAGGGGGTGTGGGTCACACCTCTTGACACTTTCAGAGGAAGTATCACCAAAATGACCCCAGGATCTGCAGCAGTGGTGGCAGGTAGGCCTGTGGCGCCTGGGGGAGGGGTCACCAAGACAGTGGTGTCACTAGGGTTGGTGTCACCTTCCCCTGGTAAGCCATCAGTCTCTAGGGTTTGTGTCACATAGTGTAATAATTCCTCATCACCACCCACTACCCCCAATCACCTGCGAGTCAGGGTATGGGTGGCTGGGCTTCGGCTCCTGCCACTGAGTGGAGAGGAGAGTCTTCACCTTGGCCAATAGGAGAGGGGAGGAGCAGCGAGGAGCCATGAAGGGTGGGGCCAGGAGGGGCAGGGCAGCGCTGTACAGTCCTCAGCCCTGGGGAGAGGGGAGACTACGCCACTCTGCTGACCGGGGGGAGGGTCACCAGCCGGCCCCACCCACTCTGAGGTGGGAAGGGTGTGACACCATGAGTTACTACACCAGGTGACACCAACCCTAATGATGTCACTGATACTGACTAGTTTTTTATGATTTTATTAATTTCAGTCTGCTGTCTTTTTTATCCTTGGTTAATCTAGCTAAAGGTTTGTTGTTTCTTTTCTTTTTTTTTGTTAAAAAAAGTCTTTTTGAAGAACTTACATTGGATATTGTTGATATTCTCTGTTTTTCTATTCTCTATTCCATTAATTGCTGCATTAATCCTTATTATTACCTTCCTTCTCTTTGCTTTGGGTTTATTTTGCTCATCTTTTTCTAATTTCCTAAAGTAGAAGATTTAGTTTATTGACTTGAGATCTTTCTTTTTTTTAATATTGATTTTTACAGTTTTAAGCTTTCAATTAAGTACTGCTTTAGCTGGATTCCATGACTTTTTGTATGTTGTGTTTTCTCAAAGTATTTTTAATTTCGCTTGTGATTTTTGGTTTGACCTATTTGTTGTTGTTTAATATCCATATATTTGTTACTTCCCCAAATTTCTTTCTGAGAACAAGAAAGCATACGTTGTATGATTTCAATCCTTCTATCTTTATTGAGACTTGTTTTGTGGCCTAATATTTGATTTATTCTAGAGAATGATCCATGTGCACTAGGGAAGAGTGTGATTCTGCGGTTGAGTGGAGTGTTATATAGATGTCTATAAGTTCTAGTTGCTTTACAGTGTTGTTAAAATTTTCTATTTTCTTGTTGATCTTCTAGTTGTTCTACACATTATTGAAAGTGAGTTATTGTTGGATCATATATTTCTTCCCTCTTTCTTTGTCAGTTTTTGCTTCATGTATTTTGGGAGTCTGTTGTTAGGTGCATATACGTTTATGATTGTTTTCATGTATTGGCTGTTTCATCATTATAAAATAGTCTTATTTTTTTCAAGAAAGTTTTTTTTTTTTTGTCTTAAAGTATTATTTTTTTCTGGTATTAGCATAGCCACTACAGCTCTCTTTTGTCATTATTTGCATGATATATCTTTTTCCATCTGTACCTTCAACTTATTAATGTCTTTGAAACTAAAGTGTGTCTCTTATAGACAGGATATATTTGATCTTCTTTTTTTTTTTTTTTTTAAATCCATTCTACCAGTCTCTTACATGTCATTGAAATGTTTATCCATTTACATCTGATGTAATTACTCCTAAGGTAGAATTCACATCTGTCATTTTTCTACTTGTTTTCTGTATGTCTTATGCTTTTTTGTTCAATCTATGCCTCTGTTACTACCTTCTTTTGTGTTAAATAAACATTTTCAGGTATATTATTTAATTGCCTTCCTATTTCTTTGGCTTTTTTTTTTTTTAAACTTATTTTCTTAGTGATTGTTCAGGGGATTACATTAACATCTTAGTTTAGAACAATTTAGTTCAGACTAATGCCAACTTAATTTGATTAGTATACAAAATTTTTCTCCTATGTAACTCCATTGCTGTACCCCTTCTTTTGCTATTATTGTATACAAATTAGTCTTTATACTTTGTATACCTGCCAACGTTGGTTCATTATTATTGTTTTAGGCAGTTGTCATGATATCATATAGAAAAAAATGAGTTACAATCAAAAATACATTTATACAGTCTTTTATATTAATTATGTAGCTAGCTTTACTGGTGTTCCTTATTTCTGTATGTGGATTCAACTTACTTTCTTGTTTCCTTTCATTTCATTGTTAAGGACTTCCTTTAGTATTTCCTGTAGGACAGGTTTCCTAGCAATAAATTCAGTTTTGTTTTATCTGGAAATGTCTAAATTTTCTTTCATTTTTGAAGAATAATTTTGTTGGATTATATCCATTGTTCTATCTTCAAGTTCACAGATTCTTTTTCTACCTGCTCAATTCTGCCGCTGAGCCTGGCTAGAGAACTGTTTTTTGTTTTGTTTTGTTTTTTTTTTTACTTCAATTACTGTACCTTCTATCTCCAGAATTTACTTAGTTCTTTTTTTATTATATCTGATTGTTTATATTTTCTATTTGTCAGACATTGCTCTCATAATTTCCTTTGATTCTTTAGACATCATTTATTTCAGTTCTTTAAAAATACTTAAAACAGCTAATTTAAAATCTTTCTCTAGTGAGTCTAATGTCTGAGCTTTCTCAGGAACACTTTCTATTTAACTGCTTTTTTTCCTGTATATTGGCCAGTATGGCTAGAGCACAGGGAACAAAGGTAAGAGTTGCAGGAGATGAGGTCATAGAGGGGGGGCCAGTTCATTGAAAGGACTCTGGTTTTACTCTGAGTAAAATGTGAAGGAAGCCATGGCAGGATTTTGAGTAGAGGTGACATGAACTGACTCCTTTTATTAAAATGCACACTTTAGCTACTTTGACTTTTGTCTGTGGAACGATGGACAAAAATAGAAGCAGGAACACCATACTGGAGCTATTGCAGTTATCCAGACAAAGGGTAAGGTGTTAGCAGTGGAAATGGTGGGGATTTACCAGAATTGTGGATATATTTAGAAAGTAGAGAAATTGAATTTCCTGAAAGAGTGGATTTAGAGTACGGGAGAAGTATAAATAGTGATGATTAATTTTGGGTTATTTGGATATGTGGAATTGCCATTCACCTGAGATAGGGAAAGCTATGGGAGGGACAAGTCTCTGGGAAAAGATTAATTAAGTTTGGAGAACTTGATTCTGAGAATTTTATATTTCACAACCAAGTGAAGATGTGGGTAAGTCAGATGCAGAGAAAAGTCTTGGGTTTTTGAGACAGGTCTGAGTTGTAGGTTTATATTTGGGAATTAATGGAATGCAGACAGCCTAGGTATTAGGGCCTGCTACATAATTTGTGGGGCCCAGGGAAAAATGAAAATGTGGCCCCCTCCTAAAAAACAGGAAAAATCTTTCCTCCTTTCTTCTGCAGTCTCTCTTTCAACCCATCTTGGTGTTTTTATTTGTTATTTAATGTTGCTCTCCCTTGGGCACAGGGATACTTGTGGAGAGAGTGGAGACCCTCACAGATGCTCAGGATCCCAACTTGTGACTTGGTGTGTGGGACATACACACCCATCCTCAACCCTCCTTGCACCGGCAACCAGGCCCCTCACAGGGGGAAGAGGGTAGCAGTAGTTGCTGGGTGAGGGCAGTAGAATGGGAGGCTGAGATGGGGAGGAGGGGTTAGGGTGAAAAGAGGATCTGCATGTGAGCAGAGTCTCCAAGCTCCTGGTGCACGTTCTGTTGTCCATTAGATTTCACTTACAACACACAAATTCAAAGATAAATTTTTAAGAATTTCATTATAACAGTAGTACAGTAAATACCAAGAGAGTCTTGTACATCTGAAGTCATCTCAGACCCATGAAAAAGGCCCTGCTTAAAAGCCATCATAATGAATGAGATCACTAGGGGAGTTGGTGTAGAAAGAGAAGTGAAGAATTAGCTCTGAGGCACTCCACTATAAGGAAGTAGAAAATGGAAGGAACCAGTAGAGGAGACTGAATGGGAGGCATCGGGGAGGTAGGAGGTAAGCTAAGAAAATATGGTATCTTGGAAGCCAGTAGAAGAATGTTGTCTGTGAAGATGAGTATAGACTGTATATATGCTGCTGAAAGGCTGAGGAAAATGAAAATGAAAATGGACATCTAGATTTAACAATGGAGAATTCATTGATGCTCTTGACATGAGTAATGTTAGAGGTGTGGTGAGGGTAGAAAGCCTAAGTGGAAAGGATTTGAGAGTAAATGGTAGGAGTAGAATTGGAAACGGTGAATATGGGCCACTCTTTCAAGGGATTTTCCTAAAAAGAGAGCAAAGGAATAGGCCGGAGCTAGCTAGGGAAGACAAATCAAAATATTTTTTA